AAAATATCACATATTATTTTATTTTTAGTAAACAAATCATTATTGTAGTTGCATAATATGAAAAAAAGACATAGTTTACATTTTGTGAACAGTTAGATATAATTTTATAATTTTTTCTTTTATTTACATATTACTYAATATTCAAAATTTTATTTTCATATTTATATATTATATCTAGGTACTGGTATACAGTTATAATTGTTATCATTATTCTTTACCTATTTGTTATATATCTACTTTGTGAAAGGGTAGATGCCCATCAATACAAATAAGCAATAAGAGAATTGTACTGGACTGGTAATTAGTGGAAAGCAATTAATAAATATTATTGACAACAGCATTACATATAATGTCTGTTGACACAATTTTTWAAATCGTAATGATACTCACAGTTTTGAGTGCGTCAAATCCAATCTATAAATCCAACAGATGATAACTTAATCCTCGTGCGCACAAGATCCTAGAACTGCAAATTCCAATATCTTGTACAATAGGTTATGTTGAAGCGGCGGACACAGACTACGGAAACTGAACAATCGATAGCAACCACGATTTTAAGATAATCAACAGTCAACACTCAACACAGCCTACGACGAATGACGACAATTGACGAGTGTCGAACTGTCGAGTCAAGCAGTGATCTAAATATATAATATTATTAATTGTCAATGTCCGCTATGGCTAAGTCGCAAAGAACAAGGAACGTTGTAGCAGTCAGACTRGGACACGGTCATAGCTCACACTGTCGTAGACATTGAGAGATTAAACATACATAAATACATATTTTAGTATTACAGCTACAGCAAGTCATAATAAACTCGTGAGCAACTATTACATTACATTTACAATAGTCTTCTACTATAATATTATCAGTGACTGCCAAGCGCCAAAAGTCCCGAACCAATCTGACATGATAAGAACAACGAAGTGTACTGCGCACGCGCACACCGTCGCGCYTTAAGATAAAGTTTGTAAATTTGTGTCAAACTCGTCGCGAAGCGGCTCCGCAAAAGTTAGTCCTACTGCCAAAATCTGAATTCACCGTCATTTTCAGCAAACTGCTTGAACAATTGTATGTAATTACATGCAACATGYGACACAAATTTTAAATAAAAGGTGGCAAGGTGCCCAACTAAGACTTTCCAGTAAAACAGAAATATAGGTACCACCTATTAAATTTCAACAAATTAATTAAGTACCTTCATTGCACTTTATTACATGGAGTGATGGAAGATGGAACATAATAAATAAAAACATTAAATTCATGAACGATGAGCATTCTCAAATTTTCGTGATTCAATAACATATAATAAATAATAAAAACAATTATTAAACAATAAATTTATCGAAAATATAATAGTACGTAGTCACGATTTTTTTTTCGAAAAGAAGTTTAACAGTAACTGTTAAAGCCCTCCAGCTATAAAATCTACTATGACATATGTCATTGATAAATTAGGTGATCGGCGCCACTGTAACAGTTCAAATTTTTACGAAATTTATCAAAGTCACGAAAATATGTAATTTATTTTGTATTTCGTATTTTTTGTCTAAATACAAGATCKAAGATAATACAAAATTTTGACTCTTAAGGAACATTTTTAGATTAATGATCAAATTGACAAAATAGTCATCAAAAATTACAAAATTTCAAACAGAGTATGTACTGAGTGTGGCCCGTATAAACGGGGCAATGGTTATCAGTTGATGGAACTTTGTGACATGTAGCTTTTTTTCACGAAATTTATAATTTTAATRCCTACGAGTTGTAGGCTACAACTTAGAAATTTAGTATAACTGTATAACATTTCCCTTCATTCTTATTACTGCTCTAATTTTTTTTTTAAAAGTTAAGCTTGAAGCATTATACATTTTTATGAGAGATTAAGCCATTAAAGTATTTTAATAACGATCTTCATCTTACGTATATTCTATATTTCTGTTTTAATTTAAAATAATATTATTCGTAAGGACAATTGGACAAGAAACTTGAAACTTTTCAAAATTACCTATACGTGTATGTTTTACCAATGATTACAAAATTCTCAAAATATTTAATTGTATTATATTTTAAGTTATTTA